GAAGGTTTTATGGTGATATACAAGATATTCATCAGTGTGGCTATGGGACAAGGTCAGCTGAACTGCTTTTGTAGATAGGTTTTTCAATGATGTTACAACAGCATGAGTTATTAATAACTTGTTTAGAGTTCCTACTTCTTCCGATTTAATATTTTAAAAATAATCTTTTTTAAGACTTTTATTAATTTTTTTTGCTTATTTTATGTGCATCTGTGTGTTCTCATTCAGAATTTATTAGTGGTGTATTTCCAGGAAAGTTTTCTCTTCATCAGGTGGTTCAGTTGGATGGTCGGTAACATTCAACCCTAATTTTAATGACAATCTGCATTTTTTTGTGGAATGAGCTTTCATTTCTTCTGATCTTTTATAACATTTATATGGATATTTTTGTTTTTTCTTTTAATATAGTCAAAGTTTTGGAATATTGTACCAATTCAAAATTTATCAAATTTAGTTTTATTGGTCAGTTTTGCCATTACTTTGATTGCTATTATAGTCTCTGTTTATTTTTTTTTAGAAAGCAATTTTATTAAATTATAAAAGTTTCCATTTCCGCCCCTCCTCCCAACACCCTCTATATTGCTATGGTTTATACATTCTCTTTTTTTACCACTTTGGATTGAAATTATTTTTTAATGTTTTATGTAAGTGACTATAACATTGACTATAATCTTATTTATTTGAGATTTATCTATGTTGTTTAATTTTCAAGTGTGTGTGCACATGTCTCTCTCTCTCTCAGTGTGTGTGTGTGTGTGTGTGTGTGTGTGCTTGTGTATGTGTGTTTGTGGTGTGCATATACCCACGTATGAAGGTATAGAAATAAGCAGAAGAGGAGGTCAGATAACCTAAAATTGGAGTTATACATAGCTGTGAGTCTGCCAACATAGATGCTGGGAACAGAGTGCACGATTAAGTGCTATTGCATGTCTCAAGTGCCTCTGTTATTTTTAGTATGTAGACTGATGGGCTTTAGCTTCCTTGTATGTGTTACTGAGAATTAAACCCAGGGCCTAATGAATGCTAAGTAGAAACTCTCCCACTGAGCTCTAGTCTGGCTTTCCTTTTAGATTTCCATTGTTGTCTCACATTGGTTTTGTTTAGCATGTTCTATTTTCATTTTACTCAATATTCAGATATTCTTGATTATCTGATTTCTATTATTTTTAATTTTTCCAATTTTCTTTCAGATATTGCTTTCTACCTTTGCAATGCTTTTCACATAATTTGAATCTTCTTAATTCTGCTATTTGTTTTTTGGGGGGAGATTTGTCTTTGTTGGTTTGCTTGCTTAGGTATGGGGATATTTTATTTTAGATGTGTGAGAGAGAACAGTCAGAGATGTCTCAGGAAGAGTCCATAGCAGAACTACAAAGAAGTAGACTAGAAATTGCTAGCAGGCTTGTCTGGTGTTCTAACACATGTTCTAGCTTGGAAGATGTTCTGTATATATTTGAGAATGTCCATTCTGCTGCTGTTGAATGGAATGTTCTATATATTTCCACTTGAACTTTGCTTAATTTGTCTGTTAAAGTCTGTTTTGCAATTCAGGACTGAATTTGTCTCTGAGTAATATTCTTTTGCCATTCTTCTACTCTTCTACATTCATCAATATATCTGTGGATAATTGTTTTTGTGAATGCATATGCTGTGAAGGTGTGTGTGTGTGTGTGTGTGTGTGTGTGTGTGTGTGTGTGTGAAACCCAGAGGTCAACCTCTAATGTCATTCTTCAGGATGCTTTGAAGCTTGCAATTTAATCAGATGTCCTTCAGCATGCCAAAGAGGTTAGTGTGGTTGGCCACCAAGCATTAGAGACGCATCTGTCTCTATACTCTACAGTTGGAATTATAAGCACATTCTTACATGCCAAATATTTTTATGTGAGCTCTTGGACTTAATTCTGGTTCTCATGCTTGCAAGGCAAACACTTCATATACTGAGTTATTTGCCAGCATGTTTCAGTGATAATTACTACATATTTTTATTACTTCTACATTAAAAACATGTATAGTAATAATTCCTTTGACCCCATAATGAATTGATTTTGCTGTCAATACATAACTGCCATCTTATCATGGCTGAATGTAACTCTTGCTTTTTCTTTTATTCCCTGTGACATGATAATTTTTTTCCATTCATTTATTTTTAACCTATCTTTGCCCTTCAATACCCATAAGGGTATACCTCAAAGACCAGCATAGCTTTGTGTTTTATATTCTTTGAACCATTCTTTCTCATGCGCCAGTAACTATTATCTATCTAATTTTAAGAAAATTATTCATAGAGAGCAATGCACGGCTGGCAGTAGCATAAATTCTATGTGGTCTTAATAATAAAAGCCCAGTGTCAGATATTAGGGAGTGAAAGCTGAAGATCAAAAAAGCAGAGCAGTCAGCCACTGTTTTTTTCTATGAAATTCTTAGACCAAATGGGATACCTTGTCTCTACATGTCCTCAGACTGAATATGGTGAGTCCCTGTCTCCTCCCCTTTATATTCCTTCCTAGTGCTGGGATTAAAGGCATATGACTCCCAAGTACTGGAATGAAAGATGTAAGCCATCATCACCTGGCTCTGTTTCTCTCTTAGACTAGATCAATCTTGTGTAGCCCAGGGTGGCCTTGAACTCACAGAGACCCATCTGCCCCTGCCTTCCAATGCTGGAATTAAAGATGTGAGCCACCACTACCTGGCCTCTATGGCTAGCTAGTGGCTTAGCTCCACACTCTGATCTTCAGTCAAGCTTTATTTGTTAGATCACACTCAAAATATCACCATATTTCCCCTTTTTTGTCTAAATTATAAAAGGTTGTACAATGTCTAGTCCATTTACATTTGAAAAATTCAGAGAAAACACTCCATTATCTATTTTATCATGGTGAGTCCAAAGAGTTGTACTTGATTCACTTTCTATCCTAATTTGAATTATCAATCCAAAACTATCCCTTTTTTGTCTCTCAATTTTTTATACTTTACATTTATTTTGTAAGTTTCTTTTCTGAATCTGGTAATAATAAAAACTATAACTGCCTAGTCTTCAAGTCCATCAGAGACATCAGAAGGAAACATTACTTGAGTAAACAAGCAGAAAATTTAACTAAGCAATTTCTAAATTAAAAAGATGCGAGAAATAACAAAAACAGCTGACTGCTTGCACACTCACATAAGTTTCTCTATAGTGTTGGGATATCTATCTTCAGTCTACCAGCCTAGCATACCTGACATCCTTTTCCATAAAGCAGGAAATCCTGAAGGGTTATCCTTACATTGTCTTGGCAAAGTTTGGCAGTAACTTTCTTTTGTGTCCTGCTTGTCCTGTTTGAAAGGCATACTGTCAGCAGTCAAGGCAAGAGTACTTTTTGTCTCCAGTGGCTTACTTTTGCCACAAACAAAGAAAACTCCATAGACCTTAGTTAGGAGGTCATTAATATGTTCCCAGCTACCCTCTGTTTGGTCATTTCCCAGCTGCCAAGATTCTGGGAATAACCACATAAAACTATATTAATTAAATCACTGCTTTGCCAATTACTTAAGCATATTGTTAGCTAACTCTTACATCTAGAATTAACCCATCTCCATTATTTTATATTTTAACACAAGAATCATGGCCTACCATTAAGGTTTCCGCATGTCTCTGACAGTAACTCCATGGCTTCTCCTCTACTCCACCTTCCTTCTCCCAGCATTCCAGTTAGTTTCCCCCTACTAGCTTTGTTCTACCCTCTCAGGTCAAGCCAGTTTCTTTATTAACCAATGGTATTCACAGCATACAGAGGAAAATCCCAAATTTCTTTGATGCCTATCATCTTGTCTGAAGGAGATTGGTTCTGTCAGCAACAGAAATGTCTCACTGTCATATAAAATAATCTATGTAATTAAAACTTCTTAAATATGCTATTCTGTAGATCTCTGAAGATTTTGAAGATGACTCATCTAAAATATATCTCTGTTTGAACTTGGAAACATACCTAATATGGCTATAAGTTCAATTGAAACAGGTGGCTAATTACTAATCTGCCTTTCCTTATCACCCTACATAGTTGTTAAAAATAACTTTCAAGGACTAGGAATTTGCACTGCATTTTTAAATGAACTGAAAAAGTACAATACCTTGAACAAACTAGAAACATATTAGAAACATATGTACAGTATTTTCTAAATATAATGTTAAGTTTATATCAATATACAAGAATCCATGTCTATGTAAATATTTAAGACTATTAGTTGTTTTGGGGGTTTAAAAGTAGATTCAATAATCTATGTTTATATCTACACCCCCCATTTTACTTATCAAAAAAAATTCTGAATTAAATTCCTTTGTTCAATTTTTTTCCTGACTATTACCAAAGCAACTTGTAACCAACCACCATAAATGATGACAAATATACATAACCCATTGAACAACCATAAACTACCAAGCCCAACTCATGGGAATATTTACATCATGTTCTTAAATATACTTTTTGCTATTTGGAAGCAATGGCATGTGTAGGGGAACAAGAAAAGAAAATTTTGGATTAATTGTCAAGTCCTGGGAGAAGTAGCTTCATTATCTGTTGTCCAGTTTCTGCACAATGGGAAAGTATGTGGCTTATCTCAAGTCCTGGCTAGAGTAGTCTCTGAGTGACGTGAGCAGTTTGTAGTCCAAAAGCAATTTTTAGGTGGTGTTTTTCAGTTTAGTGCTATTGTTATTAGAGTCCTTCTCAAATCATTGCTGTGGTGCCCCAACATCCTTTTGGAAACTTACAAGGTTGCTGTGGGGCATGGTCATGATTCACTGCAGAAAACTGATAAAGTTTCTAACCCCAAAAGTTGGAAGCTAGATGTTATATGATTTAAAATTGGTCTATAATAAAATAATAAAAATCTGGAGACAGATATTGGGTTAAATGCTGTAAGATCAGAGAAATAAAGGACCTAATCACTAGAAAGACTTTTTACCTTCTTCAAATCCTCATACCAAAGTGAGAAAGATCCTATCTCCACAAGTCCTTGAACTGAATGGGCTGAGCTCATGTCTCTTCCTGTCTTATGTTCTTCTCTCTATCTAGC